CATATTTTGAAAAGGAAAAAAAAATTAAAATACGAAGGTGTAAAAACGATGTAAAATGAAGTTATAAATTTGAATCGTGAAAAAACATGTAAAAAACAAAGTAAAAAACAAAACTATAAAAATGAAATCTGAAAAGAAAAAAATTTATCAAGTTTAATAGCCTTTTAAATGTTAATGATACGCTTGAATAATCTTATCATATCATTGGTCCACATGGTCCACATGTCATTATTGTCATATATGTATGTCGACATGTGCTCCGTGATGACAAAAATGCAAAAAAAATTATAACAACCGTACAAAAAATACAGAATTCCACAACTACAAAACATAATTGAAAATTGGATAGTCAAACCTTATGAAAATGAAGTTTGGTCAGGTAGTAGATACAAAAACTGTTGGCTAAGTAATTACTTAAGTTATCGTTAATCCTTAATATGAAGTTAAACTCACAAAAAAGTATAGCCACATATTAATTATAATAGAAAAACAAGCAAGAAATCAATAGTTAGGAGCCAAGAATCAAGATACTTACCAAATAGATTAGCCTCAACACATTTCACAAGAACGCAACTTCTATGATGATTTGTCCAGAAATCACCAGTCATCTTCCGGGAACTTTGATAAAGATACCTCACCATTTCATGCTTTCCATATAGAGCAGCCATGTAAAGTGGCATCATTCCTCGACTATCAGGAATCTCCACTAGGGCCTTGTTCTTCCTCACCAAAATACTAGCTATCTTGACATGTCCAGATATGGCTGCTAAACAGAGGGCAGTTTCACCATTTTTATTTTGAAGTTCTAAGTCCTCCTTTTCCATCAAACTAACCAGATATTCCACAAACCAGTATGATTTCCCCATTACAGCAATGTGAAGAACTGTATCATAACTTTCGGTGATGCTAAACCTTACAAGCTCCGGGCGTTTGTCAAGGATGAGTTTGGCTGCTTTCCAATCACCGGTTATTGTTGCTTTATACGTAGGAACACAAATCTCGTTGTAATCTTCTCTTCTTCCTTTAAAGTGATGTCAAAATTCCAAAATTAGGTATTATAGAGATAGATCTGGTAAAGATTGGTTGTAGGATTGGAAAACTTACCAACAAGTAGATCTGAACGAGGTAGATTCAATGGTAGCGGTGGTGGTGGGAGATCCAGTGAAGCCATGCCCATACTAATGTTAATCCGATGCTGTTCCAGCCCATACATCGAACCCAGGCTCTTAGTTGTAGAGTTCATCTTTAGGTTTTCTTACAACATAAATAATAAGAACTCACTCACCACATAAATGAGTTATATGGACTATGGAGTGATTTTTTATTGTCCTGAGTGATCTTATATGGTACATAATCATATCTTTATCGTGTCATGAATATTGGAAATGAAAGTTTACAGAGAGACCTGTGACACTTCTTTTGTCATGTTCCTTTCCTCTTTAAGAGAAAAGTAGAATGAGTTTCTTTTTTATGTTCTCTCTTAAAAAGATTTTTTTCCAAATTTGTTTATTTGATTATTTAATAATTAATACGGAAGCACCAGGTCATATCTCGTCAATGAAACATACAAATAATCTATATTTTGAATTGTTGTTTGGAAACAAACTTTTTAATGTCGTTTGGTCATTGTAAGCAGACGGATTATCATAATCATTAATCTATAAAGAATTACTAATTTTGTCTTATTAAAATATATTTGAATATTTAATTATTAATTAAATACATATATATCAAATAAAGTTTGTTCTTTAAAAACAAAGAGTATAGTTTTATTGTTTCTAGTCGTTTGTGGCTGACAAAAATCATATAACCACTCCAATGAGTTCAACCCACTTCCACAAGTTGTTGTTGCTCCACTTGCAAGGGTTGGTGTATGGGATTAGCACTTTGAAAAAAGTATTTGGGATTACTTATAGTGTCTATGAGATTAATGTGGTTTGAAATTCTTAAT